AGAGAATGCAATGTTGAGGAGAGAGACTTTACATTTTTTTTCCGATAGACATCAATCCTTTTCTAGGATTGATTTCATACTAATTACAAATGATTTTATTTCTAGGGTGAAGAAGACAAAGATATGTCCAAGAACTCTAACTGATCATAGTCTGGTTTGGGTGGAACTGGAACAGGAGAGGGGAGAAAGGAGGTCTTGGAGGCTAAATGAAAATTTATTTAGATATGAAGAAAATATGAATGAGCTTAAAAAACAAATGAAAGAATTTTTTGCCAATAATATGCATAAGGGTACTTCTATGGAAATGGTTTGGGATGCAAGTAAGGTTTATATGAGGGGAACTTTAATATATATGAATAATAAACATAGATCAAAACAACAAAAGAAGCGGAAAGAGATAGAGGAGGAAATAAAAAAGAAAGAACAATTAGTCGTACTTAATCCAGGAGATAAGAAAGTAAAAGAAACAATAAATAAACTACGAGAGCAATTTAATATGTTAATAGTTGATCAAGTGGCAACTAGTTTACAATATGCTAAACACAATACATTTTGTAATGCTAATAAACCAGGCAGGTGGTTGGCCTATGTGTTGAGATAAAAACAGAAATCACGAGTTATTGATAAGATAGAATTTAGAGGTAAGGAAGTTTATCAACAGAATATGATCAAAAAGGCTTTCTTAGAATTTTATACAAAGTTATATGCTAGTGATTCAATACAAGGTATAGCTATAGATAGATACCTAAAGGAAGAGAATATTCCTGAATTAACGTTAGAACAGAGGGAAGGGCTGAATCAGCCAATAACCTCTGAGGAGATTATTGCAGCGATTAAACAGTTAAAAACAGGTAAAGCTCCGGGAACAGATGGATTAACAGCTGTTTATTACAAGAATTTACAGTCTGAAATGGTAGAACCGCTTAGAGCATTATTTTGTAAAATTCAATCAGGGGAGGAGTTCCACCTTCTTGGAGAACAGCTTTTGTGTCACTGATCCCGAAAGAAGATCAAAACTGTACCAAACCTGAAAACTTTAGGCCAATATCACTTTTGATATTGGAGGGAAGATAAAAAAATTGGTGTCATGCAAAATGAGGAAAACCTGGTAAAGCAGATTAGAGATCAAAGTCAGATGCATATTAAAAGGTTGTATAACGCTTTATTGGAAATAGATTCAGAAACGGAATTGGTTAAGGATTGTATGATAAAATGGCACAAAACTTTCAGGAACCTGTGATGATAGAAACATGGGAAAAGATTTGGGTTAGAAATGTTAAATTTACGCAAGCACAAAATTTGAGAGAGAATTTTTATAAAATGTTTTACAGATAGTATTTAGATCCTAAATATTATCATGTATGTATCTGAATTTACAAGCTAAATGTTGGAGATGTGAATGTGATGATGCAACTTATTATCATATATGGTGGACTTGTAAGAAAATCAAGGCATTTTGGATAAAAATTTGGTGGGTGATGCAGAACATTCTGAAAAAAAGGTTGAAATTTACTCCTCAATTGTTTTTATTGGGTATAACAACGGATTGTACAGTATTAGAGACTAAACTGATTTTGAACCTAATATCGGCAGCTAGGCTGTTGGTAGCGCAATATTGAAAGAAGGACTCTTTGCCTACTATTGAAGAATGGACATTGAAAGTAGCGAACTTAGCGGAAATGGCGAAAATTTCAGCATATCTGAAGGACTATACACAAGAATGATACATATCGGAATGGAGAAGATGGATTGATTATATTCAAAATAAGTATCAGACAAGAAAATATCAAATAGCTTATGAATGAATGTTAAACTTTATTTTAGAAGTATTATATTATCCATAGTGGAGTTAAGGTTTCAGGGGGGGATTAGTTAGTTTAAGAATAGTTAGGCTAATTTAGCTTATGATTGTTAATTGAAATACCCTGTATTTTGCTCTGGGAAGTCTGGGGGTGGGGTGGGGTGGGAAGGGGGGAAGGGGTATTTGGGGGGGGGGAATTTTCTTTGTAAAACTTTTCAATAAAAAAAAAACTTGTAGACTTCAACTCCCAGAATTCCTCAGCCAGCTTTGCTTTGCTGGCTGAGGAATTCTGGGAGTTGAAGTCCACAACTCCCTGCCTGCTTGAGTGCAGGCAAGGAGTTGTGGTTTTTGCTACCGGTTCTCCGAACTGCCCGCCGCCATCGCTACCTACTCGCCCGAGCCGGTCCGAACTGGGAGCATTTCACCCCTGAGACAAGGGGATTGTTTAAAGACACAGAAATGAATGTAGAAGTCACTCGACAATTGGGGGGGGAGAGCAACACAATATTCAGGAAATAGATGAGAAATTAGAAGAAGCAGTGGAAGGGGAAAATCAAAATGAGATGCAAGAAGCTAAAAATAAATTAGAGAAAGGATTAATAAGTAGGAATCAATTAGATAACTCCTTAAAAGTTCATAATAGAACAGAGAGAGAAAAGAAAAATCTCTTCAAAAAAAGGAGAAAGATTTAGAGGGAAAAAAAGAAAAATCTCTTTTTTAAAAAAAAGGAAGTCTTGTTGATGGGGGTTCAAATAATACAGTAGAAAGAGACAAAGGGCACCAAGAAGGGAATGTTCAGTAGGTGCAAATATATCAAAAAGAGCTACAAGTTTCCAAGAGAGAGAGATAAAAGGCTGACTAAAAAGTCAATAAATGACGGAATTTCAAAAAGATTAAGAGATGATGGATAACGAGAAAATATATTAATAAAATGGAAAAATTCAAAAAGGGAAAATAGTAGTATGTATGTATAGATAGATAGATAGAGAGAGAGAGAGAGAGAGAAAGAGAGAGAGAGAGAGAGAGAGAGAGAGATAATACAACTTATTATAACTAAAAATAAATTAAGTGTAGTGGAAGTTTAGGATTAGGTAATCTAATTTCATTAGCAACATTAATAGTGTGTTAAAGTATATTGTGAATTTAAAATATTAAGGATTAGAAATTGTTGGGATTTTGAGATGCACTCCTGGAATTGATTAAATATCGTTAATAGTTGACTTTATTAGTAATCCTACACATTTGGAATATTGAAGTTATGGTGAAATAATGGGTAATTTTTAAAATATTAAATATTAGTAATTTATTACTAATACATGGCACAAAGATATATTATCTATGTTTAAATGAATTAATGGGAAAAATGATAATTATAAAGAGACAATAGTATTGTTGAAGTTGGAAGATTAGGATTACATATACTTATTTGTATTATTATTGTTAGCGTTATTAAAAAAGATTTGACCCAGTCAATACACTGTCCACAAAATATGTATGGTGTGAAAAGAAAACTGAAAATAAAACATGTTTTTTTTAAAAATGGTGTAGGGTCTCCTGTTTGGGCAGGGGTTGGACTTGATGACCTACAAGATCCCTTCCAACTCTGTTAATCTGTCAATCTGTCAAACTACTTTGAAACTATTGCATAACATTGACTAAGTGGTCACAATATAGGGAAATGCACAATGAACCAAGAATAATTCTGCTGATTTACTGTACCCAAGTAGATATTTCTATTATTCTTTGATCTTTGGTTTCAGTGTAAAGTAACATTGTTCATCATAGTAAGAAGTCACCAATTATTAAAGCTCCTTTCATTGTCTTCTTTATTCATTGTCTCTCTTCCAAAATTCTTCCAGAATTCCAAATTTGAATCTCCTGTTCAGCTCAGTCTCTCCTGGTAATTTAAAGCAGTTTCTGTGCAAGCACATGAAAGCTATTTCCTGATTATTTTCTTCGCTAGTTCCTCTAGTTCTAGTCGTGTCTCTCATGGTCTTGGTCTGTGGATTCTCTTCCTTTAAAAGAGTTGCCCCTCTATGACAATTCTTCTAATGCTTCCTTTCTTGGTTATGATAAATCTTATTCTTTATTATCATCTGAAGTGTGGTCACCAATAGCATTTTTATTTTCCTTTCAGCAAGCTTGCATTTTCTGCAGATATATGTCACATACAGTATATGCATGGGCATAACTTCCTAAAAACAAACATGCCCCAAGCATTGCTAATCACGACTACAAAGTCATGCTCCGTTGTATTTGTTGTTCAGTTAAGCAAGGCATAACTACTCACCTAAAAAGAAAATTTATTAGGAACCTTCTTTGCTGAATCCAACATAACAATAAAATCCCTATAGCGTAATGATTCCTATGTAATATAGATATCCATTTCATAGCTTAAGTGAAGAAAGGACAAAAGAGTTCTGCTTTTGTTCATCACAGCATGATAGGGTGCATGTAGGAAAAAAAATTGTTTACCAAACATTACCAAACAATCATACTTTTCATGTGTTTATTCCATTATGATAAAAGGTGCTGATTTACACTATCTCTGTCCGAACCTTTGATCTATTTTATATCAAATCCATGCATAATCATGAAACATGGGTGATTTTGGATTATACTTTCCCCATTTCTGCTAACTTACATCACAAAATAATTGTGAAGATTATATGATATAATACCAAACTTTGTGAAAGGTATATAACAATCATAATAGTAATTCTAATATTTTTTTTTAATTATAAGTAGCACTGTAGACCTCAAAGATCTAAACTCCCACTTGAAGAAAAAAATTGCAGCATTCCTAATATACAGTTATCCATCCTTTCCTTTAAACATTTCTTAACACTTTTCTAGTCAAATAGGTCGTTCTATCATCGAAGATTCTTCAATCAGTACCTATCACCTACCGGCATATATAAATCGGTGAGATATGCTGCAGGATAAAAATGGACTTCTCCCTCAAAAGACTTTGCTAACCACAAAGCCGGCTCCCTTGCGCGGAAAGCAGAGCTTTGTTTTGTTTGACACCCCGGCTGAAACTCAGGAAAAGTTGTTGGCTACCGCGTGCCCTGAAGGGAAAACACAAAGCAAAACATCACTGCTTCCAGTTAAACTTCAGAGGGTCTCTATGGCAACCAGAGGAAACTCCCCTCCGGTTCTCTTGTCTTCCAAGAGGCGGCAGCGGCTGGCTGCGAGCGAGGTTTGCAGACTCTTTGCGAAACTCCGTGACACGACCAAACCCGCTTCGTCTCGCCCCTCCCAATATCGCCCCAAACACATTGGATCTCCAAGAGCTCCTAAACTTGAGCTTTTGCGCCTCTTGGGAACTTTTTAGCCGTAACCCTCGGCAATTGAGCTCAGGTTATTGCACTCTTTGCTTCTCTCACCCAAGGAACAAGAAAAGAACGAGCGAGGAGAGAGGTCTGGCGTGATGGATGTGGAGAACCGGGAAAGGTTCTCAGAGCAGGAGGGAGAAGGAGAAGAAGAAGAAATGGAAGGAGAGGAAGAGATTGGTGAGTAAGTAGATTGGAAGAGAGGCAAACAAGCGGACAAGGAAAGCAGAGCAGATTTGAGCAAGGGAGGGATGGAAGAGGTTCCTCCAATGTAGATTGGACCTAGAAGTTTTTCTCCTCCGCAAATGACAGCTGGATATTTTTAAAAGATTCTGCTTGACTGATAGGTTGACCCATTGCCATGTCCGCCTTCTAATTCTCACTTCGGGAAAGATTGCAAACAGTTTGGACAGGCAGTATATATATTGGGGAGTTTTGCTTCTGAAAGCTTCTGGGCTCATTTCCCCACTCCTAGACATAATTGACTGATGGTGTAATTATGGAAAAGGATTCCAGCTCCTTCCAGGATGGATTTCAGTACTAGCTCCCCCCCCCAACCCCCACCCATTTCTCATACTGAACTGGAGTATGTGCAAAACAAACTGTTTCAAGGGGCTTTAGAAAGCAGCTGGCATGGTTTGGGGATTTTCCTTGACTTTGGATTTAAGTCCAAAGAATAGTGAACACTGCCAAACAATGATGAGTCAAACAATAAATGGTGAACTGGAGTTGGAGGAGCACTGTAAAAAGGAATCTTTTTATCAAACAGTCAAGATTACTCAGCAGTGCTGTCCTTTCCTCCACATGAAAAAAAATCCATCCTAACAGAAAACTGGAAAGTGGATGACTGATTGTGGTGCAGAACTCAGGAAGTCTAGCATTTGAAAGCTTAGTAATGCTGCATTGCGGCCAGCTTCCTAAGGTGACATTAGAACGAGTCGAGGAGCATCTATTATGATGATTGGTCACATAGTCAGCCAGATGTTTGGACTGGATTTGGCATTTTTAGGCACATATCCAGCTATTTGGCATTTTATTCACTTCCTTATGGACCAGGAATAGACAGAAGTTGTGTAATAGTATTAAAGAATTAGCTTCTCTGTCTCTTTTTTCAACTTTCTTGCTCTTATCCATCACCAGATATTTTATTATCTGCTTTGCCTGCAAGTTTTTTTATATACTAGCTATCCTTTGCCTTGCCATGTCTTTTTTCTTCATTTAGTCTTTCTTATTGGCCATCTTGCTTTCTTTGACACTCAGTAAGTGTACTAGCCTCAATGCATCTTCTTCACTGCCTTTCAAATAACCTTTCAATGCCCTTTTTTCTTCTTCAGTTATCTGGCATACTTGCCCACCTATGTTCTTTGTCAAAATAATTTTTTCAGGTCTTTCTATTCAGAACTTTTAGTTCAATTTGAATTCAGTCCAATATTCCAAATAAATATCTAATGACTGGAATTGTCCAGTTGACAATCAACAGCAACTGTGTCTTCCATTGTGCAATTGATCTTTGCACAAAGTTTCTAATGTTTCTACTGACTCCTGTTATATCTAGGCACTTGATTATCCAATCATGTGGCAGGGATTTGAATGCCTTCTTGTAATCAATGCAAAATCACTTTGTCAATTAAGAGGTGATCTTCTGTTCCTCTACTCTTTGGATGGCTCCCTTTCTGTTCAGCTGGAAAGAGCTTGTTTTCAATTAGATGCTATTGCATTGCATCAGCTACCAAATCAGGTAGCAATTTGAAAGTTGTTGGTAATTAGATAATAGGCCTGTAGTTGCCTGGGGTAGTCCCTTTGCAGGATCTTTTTATTATTGGGTAGGTTTTGCCAGACGTTAGCCACTTTTCAATTTTACCTCCTTGTGAAATATGGTTAAATGAGTGGGTTTGGACCAATCAGATGTTTCAAACAAAAATGGTGCATTTCATCTTCATCTGAGAGATGGGAGAATGGGGAGTGAGCAGCAGCTTTGAGCTTTGCTCTGTTTTTTATTCTCTATTTTTATCCTTTAAAAAAAAATACTTTCTACTTTTAAATCAATTTTTAACTTTTAACTTTGTTCTCCTTTTACTCTCTATTTTTATTTTATTTTTATTTTTTAAAAAAACACTCTTTTTACCCTTAAATTGATTTTTAAATCAATTTTTAACTTTTAGATTTAAAAAGTTTCAATTTTACTAATTGAGAGGTTCATCTTTTACTCCAGCTTTTACCCCAGTTTTTTACGCCAGCTACTAAAGCATTTAGTGAATGAGAGGAAAGTTTCCTCTACTAAGCAAATCAGCTATCCATGGCTGCGACAACACTGAGACAACCTAAGATAAAAGACTTTTTTCAGACAACGGATACTGCAAGTAAGTCTCCTTTTCTCTTTTCTTCCCCCCTTGCGACCATGGCAAACAAACCTAGCCCCCTTCTGGATTGGGAAGAGGACGACTGCTCATCTGTGGAGGAGGGAGTTGCAATTCCAGTAGGAGTTGGAGGGGAGAACAAGAATAATAATACTAGGAACAATTTTAAAGGAGACTTGGATTTGGTTGCTAAGAATTGCCTACTAAGAGCACAAACAGTTGCTGCCATATTTGACCAGGTCCTGGAATCAAATGGAGGGATTAAAGAATTAAAGTCTCTAATGAGAAAACACATTAATAAACTAGCTGAAGAAGTAAACAGCAAAGCTCATATTCCAAAGCTTACCCATGATGTTTAACCAGGCTGTGTGGACTGGGGGTCTCAGAGCGAAGAGGATGCGGTGGAGAGGCTGGTCTTGTAGAGGCACAGGATTTTACTCCAGGTTACTAACACCCCTCTGAATAGGGGCAGGTGGCACAACAGGAGAGTGGTTTTGATCTCTCTATCTCAACTCTTACACTGTAGGGTATATTCTGATGAGCTAATAGAGATTTCTTGGCTCCCCAACAGACAAGGCTGCAAAAGAATATTGCTAACTTTGGGCAGATTGTACTACCATCAATGTTACTCAGGCTTGAGACCTCACTAAAGAAACTCTGTATTTGGCCAAGATGGGTATTTCACACCACCCAAATTCAGTCCCTGTTAAAGTCTGGGCAGAGAGCCAAGACAGTGAAGGAGGTTGATACTAATCTTGGGAATGCCAAAATACCAACGGCCAAACAAACAAGCCCTCAACTAACAAGGTTAGGAAAATATAAGGACAATAAAAAAGAATTTCTAAACCTACACAAGAGAAAGCTTCAGTTTATTGATCATGAGGAGGAACTGGTCCACCAGTTTGCTACCCTCTGCCCAGGAGACCAAAAGATGATACTGGAGAAGATTGAGGTCAAATGTTGATGTCAGCAGCTGATGCAACAGAAAGCTTGAATGCTTTGCTTCCTTCTGGCAGCTCCTCCATGTAATTGCTATCAGGTCCAGCTTCTGAAAGCACTCAAGCCCCAATAAATAAAAAGAGAAGGCATACTAGTCCAAAAGAAAAAGAGGAGAAAAGGGAAATCCATCAGGACTTGGTAGTACATGTCCAAATTGACCAACTAGACAAGGAGAGAGAAAGCCGGAATACCTGCCCATCTGAAAAAATTTCATTCTTGGAGCAAGGGCAGAGACTCACTGGCAATCAAGATAAAGAGGAGCAACAACAAGTTATGCAACCCATGAGGAGAAATATTGAACTTCACAATAACTGTGTTTATATGGGAAGCGTAGTTGATATCAACCTGGCTCCAATGTCAAATTGACATCCAGCATTTTTACCATCTAGCCAACCAATCAAGCCAGACCACCTTGCTTCCAGGAATCCCATATAGATGCTGACCTGGAATGTAGCTGGCTGGAAAGGGAACGTTGATAGTGGACTAATGAGCTTTCTCCACAGATTTGATGTAATAGCCATTCTAGAAACTTGGTTAACCGAAGTGGATGAATCAGTACAACTGCCAGGCTTTCAGGGATGGGGCTCCCCAGCCCAAAAAACAAAAAACAAAGGGAGGCCCTCTGGTCAGCTATGCATTTTTATAAAACAAGAGTTGCAATGGCAGGGGGAGACTATAAAATGAAGACAAATATTAGTACTTCCTAGCTGTTAAATTTGGATATGAAGAGTTCAAGTTAATACTGGTAAATGTGTATATCCCTTGAAACACATCCTGGTATTATAACTCTGAATACTGGATGGGCTTGGAAGTTATCCTAGATGATATATCTGTATTGTACCCTCAGTCCATAGTGGTATTACTAGAAGATTTGAATGCTAGGTTGGGTCTCTCTTTGTATAAGCTCACCCAGAAGAAAGGAGTCTCAGGGGAGTTTTTTGATAACCATCCTCAGTGGCTCTCGAGAGACTGCAAAAGTAATGCTTCTGGCCTGCTCCTAGTCTCCTTGATTTAAGGGTAATCTCCAAATTCTGGGAGGTAAGGATAAGAATTACACATATCCTTACACATACCACTTGGCCAATTCAAGCAGTGTACTGAATCTCTTTTGTGTGTCTAGAGATAAAGTCAACCTCTTTTCGGAGGTCACAGTACACCTTAGCAACAATAGCGATCATCAGCCTGTAAGCGTGACATTGCGAGGCCGCTTAGATTTAAAACCATATAACATGGCTGACAGATGGCTCACCAAAAAGGTAGAGGTGACCCAGAATAAAAGGTTAATTTGGGCCAAAGGTGATACTAAGGCAATATCAGAGAATGCTACCAAGTGGGCTAGAACAATCCAGTCATCTACTACTGACTGGCTGTCAGCCTTCAATGCATTCTCTAATCTCTGTAATATTCTGAAGAAAACCTAACAACTAAACCTGCTACAAAAAGAGCCTGAGTGGGTAGACCCCGTTGGTTTAATCCTGAATGCCAGTGACTGAAAAAGAAATTGAAGGCAGCCATGAGGCTCGCCCAGAGGAATCCTGCTGCTCATATACAAGCAGAGATGTTGCACACAAGAAGGGAATATAAAAAAATTATAACATTAAAGAAATAAGTTTTGCCATTTCAATATGGTCAGAACTTGAGTTGGCTGCCAGAAGTCATAACTCAGTAATATTTTGGCACTCTGTAGCAGGTGACTTGAAGAGACGGAGATTTGCTTTTGACATACCAATCTCTGCTGAGGACTGGGAGAATTATTATCAGTGTTTGCTTCCACGGAACTTGCAGAGAAACTGTCTTTAAGCAGTGATCTAGTAAACCCTAGAA